AGGTGTCGTGAATGTAGACGGAGGAAAATTTAATAGGTCAATCAGAACATAACAACTCAAAATGATTAAAAAAATCATAAATAACTATTGATCCATGTGAGGCAATCTTTGGTGAAGGTCTATGTTCAGCAGTGGACTTTTGAAAGGCTCTATGTCTCTTTTGTTATTTTGAATGTTCATCATCATCATCATAGTGAGCCTGCGTCAGAACACTGCTGGACATAGACATCTCCCAAGGCGCGCCACTTAGCCCGATCTTCGGCTACACGCATGCAGTTTCTACAAGCCATCTTGCGAAGATCGTTGCTCCATCTAGTCAGGGGTCGTCCCACACTACGTTACGTTTTGAATATTAACTATAGGATATTCATTCGTCCCGTGGGTGTCGTTAGAGGTGACTTTCGTAAATTACATGGTAAGTACCATCAGGTAGACTGTTTACTGCGGCTCATAGGATGGTATTTAGGGACAATCTCTTGCTTAAACTCGAACCTCACAATGTTAAAATTCGTGTAACATAGTATAGTAGCCAAGATTTATCATAGATATTCTGGAGCCTGAGTTTAACCCGAGTCATAAAGCAATATATACGTGGTAGAACCTTGCTGAAGCTATATTAATAGTATGGTTGTAGCACGAATGGGTCGGCTCGACCGGGGAAGGACCACGATCTCACAGAATACCAACGTAAAATAGCAGCTTAATGCTGCTGTGTTTCGTATGGTGAGTGTAGAGAACTGGAGACCCTTTTTACTGGAAAAGAGGCATTCCATCTTAGTCCTCACGGCTGACAACGCATCTGCATTTTAATTTGCAAACGAAGATAGATGTAGATGTCTATGTGCCACAGCAACCACTTACCATCAGATGGACTGTGTGCTCGTTTGTCACACTTATTCTATAAAAAAAAAACCGAAAAGCGAATGCATTCAATTACCCTTCTTTACACGACACGTGCTTTCACTATCGTAGTGTGCACGATTGAACACGGGAAAGCTTGCACGCGCAATTGTAAGTGATTGTTTTTATACGTTTATTATGCGTTGACTTTTTCACGCGCTATTACTGCTATATTTTTATTCAGAGAGGAAAGAGCGTCGTGTAAAGGCAAATCGCGCGTGATTCAGTTCAGGAAAATTCCGCAACCTGGAGTGTTGAAAATCACGCAGTTTTGTTAAACGTGCGTTCTGAAGACTAGTGTTCTAAAGAAATAGACAAAAGGGTTAGAAGGGATATAACACAAGAAGTTATGTTTGCTTGTTTAAGCGTATAATAGATTATTTATTTATTAATTTATTTTCATAAATTATTTTTAATATATTATTAAATAAAATAACACATAATATGTCATGCTTGAGACTTGTATAATGCCAAGGATTCTGTAATAAGATCCTAGCTCTGTAATCTATTGTCCGTCATTTGCGAATTAATTACGAAAACGATTGTCGCGTTTTCACAAAACCGTACGTGTAAATTATGTTTGAAGTACAGACTTGGACGCCTGACTGAATGATGAAGGGATGCGCGAACGTGCGGCGCGCGCGAGTATTCTCGTTCCCTTTTTCTATCTTTGCATGCGCATTCATTCCCGCGCGAAAGCCGATTCACGCGTTAAAGGACGTATGTGTAAAGGCGGCCATTGTCACACGTTCACAAAGTAATTCCCAGACTAAATTATATTATTAAATTTTATTTATAACTAGCAGGTACCCGACGCGTTGATGCCGCAAACAAAATAATTGTGGCAATATAGTTTAAAATTTGGAAATGTTATACACTTTAATTAGGATATAATATATAAATTTCAAATAAATTTGTCGGTACGATATGAACGCACGCTTACTGTAAGTTAATTGTACTATGCCTATAACCTTCGCGCAAGTGCAAGCAATAAGTTGGCAACGTTTTACCGCAATCTAATGAACGGTATGGCAGCGCATAAAATACGAACAAAGAAAAATTTATTTTTATATATTAGCTAGGCGCAAACAGTCTCTGAATACTGGCATAATGCTTAGTTACCAATAAAAAAATGTCTACGTTTTTCACACTCACGATAGGAAACTTACGCTGGTATCATGTGCAAGCGTCCTACCCCAGTTTAAGCCGACCCATTCGTGCTGCAACCATAATTGATAATTGCAACGTGGAGTTAATGTTACAGTTCATGTTTCCCAGAAACATTATGGTAGTAGCACGAATGCGTCGGCTCCACCGAGAAAGGACCTCGCCCTCACATAATACCAGCGTGAAATAGCCACTTGTTTGCTGTGTCAGCTGATGTGTGTTTCGCACGGTGATTGTAGAGAAGCGAAGAAATTTTTCTCTGGAAACGAGGAATTCCATCTTGGTCCTCAAGGTTGACAGCGCATTTGCCTTTTGATTCTTAGATGTACGGGTCGATGGGCAACAGCAACCACTTACCATCAGGTGGACTGAGTGCTCGTTTGTCAACCTTATTCTATTAACAAAATAAAAGAAAAAATATAGCGCGTTGATTATTGTTCAGATAAACTTTAGAATTTAAATTAAAAACGAAAACAGAATAATACCTTTTACCTTCTGCTTTTCTCACGACATTGTACGTGGTAAAAGAGCACATAAAGTTTCCGTTAACAATTTCAGTGTCGGCACAGATCAAACTCGAATTACTCGCGTATGTAATTTGTAGAGTATAATCGCTCGCCTTAGGCAAAAAGAAATTCTGACGTAATTTAAAAATATTTCGTAAAATACGCCTTCGTATTGTAGTCTCAAAACTGCGTTTAAATATTTTCAGTATACAAGCACTTAAGTGTTTAGTCGACAAATAAGAAAACGCTCAACCCTTACCCGCTGAGGTAAACCGTCACATCTTTTTTTATTAAACACGCTATATAATTTCAGGGTCTATTTGACCCCTTTCAACATTCAATTCAACGGACGCAAGTGTAGCAATTCCGCGTGTACGACACGGAGCTTTACCTCCCAAGGGTAGGGGTGGCCATCAAGGTAGAGTTAAATTCAATGTTACGATTTATTTCTTTTCGGAGACAGTTAAGTTTGCGATACACAGAGCTCATGTTTTTTTCAAACGTAACATACGTACTGGAAAATCGCCGGAGTAGCTTGACAATCTTTTCTTTTATACAAAACTAGCTGCCCAGAGAGACTTAAAAAATCTTTCAATTCACAATAAAAATTATTGAGGGGCACTTATCGAAAAAAAAAACTATCCCACCTATCAAGTTGAAATAAGCTAAATACAAATTTACAAAATTCAACTAAAATCGATTGAGTGGTTTCAGAGTTCATCGCGGACAAACAATGTGACAAGTAATTTTTATATATAAAGATTCAAGTGGCAAACAAACTTACACTTTTAATAAAAAGGAAACAAACTGTTCTCAAACAACCTTTTGAATTGGCTAAGTAATATCACAAGTTCAAAGTAACAACTAGAATATCGTCAAAACTATTACATTAAAACTTTATTTTACTTTTCTATCCTGGAAATTTCGGTTTAGGGCCGCGGGTTCGAATATATATGAACAAAAATTACTTTTATTTAAACATACGCACAAAAAAGACAAAAAAAACATACATCAAATTAGGAATTCCTTTTTTGAAATCGACTAAAAAGGCAATGCGATTATGGAAAATTATTAGCAGCAAAATCCCTTTAACTGTATCACCGCCTTAATCCCTGTATGTATGCGAATCGGTTTCGGGTCAAGAAGCAGTGGCTATTGGTTTTTTGCCTGGATTAAATTTGGAAACAGTCCGCCATTTGCGGGGTATTGAAAGTCGGCGGGCGAAGTATCGTGCCCCGTTCTAATAAATATATAATAATACCTCGCAATTGATACGGCCTACGGGCGATTTTCGAAATTGGAACTGATCACGTGAATAAGATATTGCTGGGTCTTGGATACGTAGCAAATATATTGCATGAATTACAAAATTGTGTTTTTAATATTCAAAATATTATTTATGTTATGATCACGAATGCTGCGGTTTGAATAAAACTGAATAATTTAGATATTATCGCGTTTGTTTTATCTTAACTTAACAATAGATGTATCGTGCATCCTTTCGTTACCGTGGACGCTGTACGGTGTTAAAAGGTTAGGTTAAAAGCTCTTGAAATGTCAAAATAAAAGAGCTAAATTAAACGCTATATATAAATTATTAATACTAAGGTGCCTATGGAGAGGTAGTATATTAGAATGGGATGCTACGTGCGTAGAAACTTTGATGTTTCTTATCTCAGGAGTAACCACGTTTGTTGCCGGTGCGGAATTAGAGATGGTAGAGTTGAGAAAATGGCCCAAATATTAGTTTTAGAGAAATTAAAGTTTTTAAAAATTACCTCGCGTACATCCACTCGATTAAATAAAATGATGTGTCTTACCTAGTTTGAAGAGCACCTCTCGCCCTCCCTCAATTGGGTGCACTATCCCCGTCACCACTAATCTCACCACCACTACTCCCAACACCACTACACAAGGAAAGACACACCACTGACGACAATACGACACGTGTTTCGCCTCTACACAAGGTACCTTCAGGTGATGTTGACTCTGAGGTGGCTGACCGCTAAATAACTACAGAAATAACTGCATGTTTGTGTCATTTGCTATAGAAACTATCGTTCCGTGAGTTCCAAAGGTTGAAAGTTCCTGAAGGAGCTGTATCCGTGACTAGTCGTCACCGCTGCTGACAAGAGAGCCGGGTCTCTTTTTTGCTAAGGCTTAAGTATGACAATTCCGAGAGGAAACGCAGCCAACGTTCTTGTCACTATACCGCGGAGAAGTAGCACTATAGGATTATAGGATTTTATTCTTTAATATTGGAATAAATATTGTATATCATTATGTTAAAATCAAAATAAATATCTTCAAAATTCAGAAAAATATGTACTGTTAAATGGTTTGTTAAATCATTGTTTTTTTTTTTGTTTCAGGTTTCGTATGCGACCAGTAAGCTAACTAATCGTCACAAAGGGGACCAAAACCCTGATGCCAAAGGTAATTATTCATATATAGACTAGCAACCCGCCCCGGCTTCGTCTAGGTGATATCTATAATTGCCATTTATGTCATCATTTCGATTTAAGAAAATCATCAGTGATGGTCATATTTTACCAATTTTTTAGATTTCACAAAAAAAATCTCCAATCCTTTCGGATAAAATGTAGCCTATATCACTCCTGGCATTATACTCTCTACCTGTTCATTAAGTTTCATTACAATCGGTTCAATTAATATCTACATAAATCTGAAGGTTAACCCGGACTGACAGACAGACAACCATGTTTACGTGGTAGAGTCAGGATGCAGCTATATTAATAGTATAGTTGTAACACGAATGGGTCGGCTCGACCGGGGAAGGACCACGCTCTCACAAAATGCCAGCGTAAAATAGCAGCTTAATGCTGCTGTGTTTCGTATGGTGAGTATAGAGAACTAGAGACCTATTTTACTGGAAAACAGGCATTCTATCTTAGTCCTCACAGACACGTCATAACGCATCTGCATTTTAATTCGCAAACGAAGATGGATGTAGAGATTTCTATGGGTTACAGCAACCGCTTACCATCAGGTGGACTGTGTGCTCGTTTGTCACTTTAATTCTATTAAAAAAGACAAAAATTTTAAAAATGGATAATCATCACTTAATGACATGGAAATAACTCCCTCAGCTCAATAAAAGGCAGTTATTTCGATATTACAGGCAAACATTTCAATTTCATTTATATGTATATATTACAGCCGGATATAGGGCAAGAGCTGTGACAGTTCTGGTGCTAATCATCTGCTTGATCGTCATCAAGTCAAAATGATGTAAAAATTACTTTTGGCATCCGTCTGTCAAACGTGAAAACTATGGCAAATATGTCAGTGGCGGTGTAAGAATATCCACTGCCGCATAACATCCCGTGGGTGTCGTAACAAGCGAAAGAGGAAAACGAATCAGGAGGTGGGATGGACAGTAGCGTCTTCCTAATATCTACTAACAATAAAAACCTGCGGTTGTCAACCCACTTGCCAAGAGCGGCCATTTTTTATAGAATAAGGGTGACAAACGAGCACACAGCCCACCTGATGGTAAGTGGTTGCTGTGGCCCATAGACATCTACATCTATCTTCGTTTGCGAATTAAAATGCAGGCACGTTGTCACCCGTGAGGACTAAGATAGAATGCCTCTTTTCCTGTAAAAAGGGTCTCCGGTTCTCTACACTCACCATACGAAACACAGCAGTGTTAAGCTGCTATTTTACGCTGATATTCTGTGAGAGCGTGGTCCTTCCCCGGCCGAGCCAACCCATTCGTGCTACAACTATACTATTAATATAGTTGCAGCATGGCGCTACCACGTAAATGAACTATGACTATGAACTAAGACAAATTTCACCCCTATAAGGCAATCTATGGGGAGGTCCATGTTCAGCAGTGAACTTTAATAGGATGTAACGGTAACGGACAATCTACGGGGTTAAGCATCCGTTGCTTTTGTCAAGTTATTGTTTGTTGAATGTATGAAAAAGTAAATGTAAAAAAAAAACTCACAAAAAAGATAATCTGTTTTAAATATATTATTATTTCATTGGTTTCTCGGAAACGGCTCTAACAACTTGTATAAAATTCGGTATTAAGAAAATGTTTTATTTTCTAAGTTTATCAAGATAGGTTTCATCTCTGGGAATATTATATTTTCTCTTTTAACGCTGAGCAAACTTCGTCGCTCAGGTACTTTTATTTTTAACGTTAACCTTGTGTAATTAAATTTATTTATTACATGCCGTTTTTTTTTTAATGTACGAGCATAAATTTAAGTACGTTTAGCTTAAAAACTTATGATATTCTAGGTGGTATTTTTCTTATTATGAATATTTCTTTTAGTTATATATTCTTTACTGAATCGCCGTATACTGGCTGAAAATTAATTTAAAACAACTTGTTAATTAAAAGTCAATGTTTATCCACCATTGCACGTGGTAGATCCATACTGCAGCTATATTAGTAGTATAGTTGTAGCACGAATGGGTCGGTTCGACCGGGGAAGGACCACGCTCTCACAGAATACCAGCGTAAAATAGCAGCTTAACAATGCTGTGTTTCGTATGAACAGTGTAGAGAACCGGAGACCCTTTTTACTGGAAAAGAGGTATTCCATCTTAGTTCTCACGGGTGACAACGCATCCGCATTTTGATTCGCAAATGAAGATAGATGTACATGTCTATGGGCTACTGCAACCACTTACCATCAGGTGTACTGTGTGCTCGTTTGTCACCCTATCCTATAAAAAAAAACATCTCAAAACCTATGCTTATCTGTAACAGGCATGGGTAATACTAATGGATCTAAGTGATTCTTTTACTCTGTAAGGAAGTCGGTATTCAGGAATACACGTTGATATGCGATTTTGGATGGATTTCGTGTGCTTAAATTTAAATATGTATAGGTATATCTAAGTATGTTAATACGTATCTTAGTATTGGTTAATATCTATGGTATTCTGGAACGAGTATATCCTACAACGAAGAGTCGAAGTGGGTGTATCTGATTTTTTATTATCATTACAGCCCTTCACAGGTCCTCGCTGAACATAGCATACGCCTTCCGTACACTTCGCCTACCGGTATGAGGCCGCCACTCCAGAACCTTTCCGATTTCCTCAAATCTTTATGTTTTTAGTTGTTATTAGGAATACTTTGCTGCCCATCTCCTGGTTTCTTCCCCTCTGCCATCTCTTATGACACTCATGGGGTGATAATATTATGGGCTAATGTGTAATGTTATACCGCGACTACACTGTTTAAGTCCGTTATCACTTAATTTATAAAATAATATCATTCGCAATCACAAACAAAGTATTAGTATAATGTAAGCAAATCGTAAGTTATAGAAATATTGTAAAATATATATATCCGTCGTTCCCAAGCATTACTCAAGCGTGTGTCGAACCACAACCCCCGTATGGAATGAATAACGGTCAGAGTACATAAGTTATCAATTCGGGTTCCGCACATTTAACACACGGCAAAATGGTTTAAGGGTTCCACTATCATAAAAAAAAACCTTATAATTTATTTGTGTCTGTATCTAATGTGTCATAACTTTCAGACAAGATTCGATCTAAATTTTAACAGTGTATATTTTTGATAGAAGTCTCAATTACCGTTAACGTTTCAACCCGTCAAATGTCCACTGGTGAACAAAGGCCTCCACCATAGCTTGCCTCATAGAGGGATATTTGCCACAGTAAAGTACGTTTTTTCATAGTACAAGGTTGACAAACGAGCACACAGTCCACCTGATGGTAAGTGGATGCTGTTGCCCATAGACACCTACAATTATCCTCGATTAAGAATCGAAATGCAGATGCCTTGTCACACCTGGGGACTAAGATGGAATGCCTCGTTTCCAGTAAAAAAAGGGTCTCCGGATCTCTATACTCAACATACGAATGCTATTATACGCTGGTATTCTGTGAGAGCGTGGTCCTACCCCGGTCGAGCCGACCCATTCGGACTACAACCATAATATTGCTGCAGCGTGACTCTCTACCACGGATAAATTATTTTCATTTACAGGCAAATATAGTCTAGTCAAGTTCTATGGGGAGACCTATGTTTAGCAGTGTTAACGCTAACTAGTATTTAAACTTTCGAAAATATTAAAAAACATGTTCTGGGTCATCATCTCATCTGGGTCTCGACAACAGCGCCACCTAACCGGGTCTAATTGTAAATCTAAATCATTCCGGAATTTTTTTGAATTGAGTGGGCAAACGCACAAAAAATTTCATCGAAATCAGTCTTCGGTCTTTTCGAATTTTGGCGAGACTAACGGACAGAAATGACTTTTTCTGCCACCAGGGCGGCACCACTTAAAAGTGAGGTATAATATTTGACAGATTTCGTTGCGGGGAAGTTAATTTGTTTAGAAAATGTAAGGGTTAAAGTTTCCTTCCGTACTATAATTTAAAATTTAAGAAAGGTTAAAAATGTGCAAGAAATTAAAGAGCAAACCACGGAGGCATTGTTTTGTGTATTAATATAATTTTGCAACTTATAAACTTTTATTAAAAACTAACTTCTCAATTAAATTACATTGTGTAACAAAAAGCTTTACCTCAGTGTCAACTAGCGACATCTGGGGAGCAGAATATTGTTAGTCCTCATTGATTTATATAAATAGAGATAAATTAGAGACCATTTAGTTATAAAATTTTTCAGTTTACAAAAAAATATCTCCATGTTTTGTGGATGAGCTATGATGAGCAGCCTAGATCACTCCTGACATTACTCTGTATTTCTGTTCTCTGTCTGTCTGTTAGTATCTGTTAGTGAAGTTTCATTCCAATCGGTTCAGCCATTACGAAGATAAGTCCAGACGGAGAGAAGCAGATAAAATTCTAATAATGTTTATACTCTCAACGATTGCAAGTACCCCCCTCAGCTCAATATTTCGAAATTACAGACAGACAATTAGATTTTACTTAAATGTATGGAGATAACCCGTATAGCGTACAGCGTACAGAACCGTACCTTGCACCCGTTCCAACACGCATTTCGCAAGTTTTTTTTCTTATCTGATTTGATAAAATAGATTCCTACCTCTATTCTGCGATTTTATTCTATATGAAATATGAAATATTGTTAAATAGGATACGTGCCGACGGAAGTTATAAGCTCCCGTGAATTTTCCTGGATACCTATTTTTATATTTTGTATCTGTTTCGACTAAATTCGTCACTTCTGCAGATCGAACTTGTACTTCGACTATAATAAAATATAATGATAATGATTGAAAGGGTCCAACAGTCAGGAGTTAATCAGTCATTGACGTTCGACCCCATGAAACTGAAATCACACCACGTTGGGTTCGGGAACAACGAGGTGGGCACGACCCCTGAGAAGGAGTGCCACACGAGGACGTCTGTTGCCCTTTCTGAAAAGAAAGGTTAGTCGATTAATATTATGGGTCCCTTTGAAGTGGTCCCGGTCTTGACGTCCCTTG